ATAATATATCAACCCTATATTCATATGGTCTTGAATCTATCATGAACGAATATAATACAGTATTCAACTAAGCAAGACTGTTAGGTATATTCCTATACTAACCGTGAAATCTTTCCCCAAGCCACAGGTTCAGAAACAAGCTCTCTTTAATTCTACTCTAATCTAAACACGGCTTTCCCAAGCATAGCATAGATAGTAAATAGAACTCAACTACTGGCCAAACAATGAAGCAATTATGCACAGAATTTGAGAAACAACCAAAGATGATAACTCGAATTAACAGTAATATAATTAATAAACTCAAATATTCATGACAACCACTACCCTAGAAAGCGAAGTTTAGCTCCACATAGACATGGTAGCAAAACAACAATTCATCCAAAGAAACGTAAAGATTACACGGTTTGATGGAAGAAAGATAGAATCTGATGAATTCCGGCCTCCACGGTGGCTCCGCGCTCTCCCTAGGTCTAAAGTATGTCAAAAGTTCTCAAAATAGTGTTTTTATATGTATTTATACCAAGTAGGGTCGGGCCCAGACAAAACACCTTTTTTCTGCGCGAAATAGGACTCTGGCTCTGTAAAATATTACAGGTGCGCCGCATGGCGCGTCGCGCCATGCGGTGTACTTGTGGGGAACTTCAAAGAGCATGCAATTTGAGGGCAGCAACAATTTACACAGCCGCGGCGCGGCTGTAGAAATTTGGAAAAAATGTAAAACATGAAAGTTGTAGCCCTTTTAAATAGCTTTCCAACGATATATTGTGGAGTCCAAATGGATTTTTTTGAGCGATAGGTTATGTGCATTTTACTGGACAATGCTCAGTAAGCCTGCTTGATTCTTTGTTTCGTTCTTAATGTGCACTATCATCTGTTGATCCCCGAACACGATCCCAACTTAATCTTTGGGCTTTTACTCTGACCTCAAAGCTCCAGAATAGCTTGAATTCATTCCATAACATCTACATAGATCGGAATCGCTCCTACAAGGCATAAAACACACATTTAGTGCAAAACACTAGCGATTAAAACTCAAACTCAATTAAAGTGCAGTAAAGTAGAGTATAATAAGCGACTAAAATACGTAATTATAGCCTATCATCAATTATCTCTATAATAATATTGTTCAGTAACTTACCTTGTAAGACAATTTAGGAGTTGTAAATAACATAAGTGTAGCTTAAACTATAATGTGTTCTCAAATTACTTGATACCAAGAAGGCATCTGAAAAGTAACATGTAAAGCATAACAAAAAGAAAAAAAGAAAGGACACTAGCAACATAATTTACATTTTACCTCTTACATTAATTGACACTAAAAAATCTTGGGTAAATCAATCTTATCCTACAATTAATTCATGTGAACGAGGAAGATTACCTTGTACTTAAAGCCGTTAATAAACTAATCTTAAGTCATCATTAGCATGATTTTACAAACACAAATACTTTGCTGCGTTTTGAATGAACCAAAAGTCCACACTTGTGGAGACAAGATTTAGATCTTACCATTTTCCACATGCTGATGCGTATTCTTCAATTTAAGAATTTGACCAATCTCCTTTTTTGCCATTTTTTAATTTTATTCGCTATAATCTTTCTAATATCTTGACCCAAGATTTTCATGTTTACAAGAATTCTCATTATGGAAATTACCAAGTCAATGCTTCAAGAAAAATGAATCAAGATACTGGGATGTTCTGACATCAATGAATACACTCAATTAGAAATATTCATTACCAAACTATAGAAAGCTTAAGTCCAACTGATTAGCGGCAAATTCATAATTATAGTCCAACTGGGAGTCATGACTATACTAAAATACTCAACAAATTGCATAAGATAAATATTGCTAATTAATAAGCCATAATAAAAATAAACATAATCTAAAAGTACTAAGTCATGTTAAAATAAGTACGACTAATAAGTACTAAGTATTAATTACATGACTAAATAATATTAAAAGCGACTTATGCATTTTCACTCTCTAAATCAATGCAAAACTAAAAAAAAAATATCCAATACTATTGTCATTTCTAGTATTGAATTGATTTTTTTTTTTTGGCTAACATTAGTATTAATTTGATTTTGCTTTGGGCTTTATTTGGGTTACTAATTTTTATGGGCTATAAAACACATTTGACCATTTAAAAGTTCTAAGTCCATACTTGAAATAATACATTAAAGGAATTTTTACGCCGTATAGAAAACCTTAGTACCCTATTTATTTTAAATAAATACCATTTTAAAATATTACATCCTATAGATACCTTTTACTTTATAGCCAAATATTTAATTATAGTTACATCCTACATTTATGGCACCATATATGCTAAATAATATTTTTCTCTCTCCTTTTTAGTCTTTTCTCTCACATAATCACCGTAAAATTGACTAACCACGTTCTCTCTCTCTCTCTCTCTCTTTTTGCATACACTTTACTCTTTTCCCTCAACCCACGATTCATACCTCTTCTCCCACCCAAATTCTCTAGTTCTCCTCCATTATCACTATATTACAATCGCTTAGGGTAAGTTTAATTCGTTGATTTTGATAGACGAAGAGCAATTGGTTCAACTGTAGCGGCTCGATTCTGCATGGAAGTGGTCGTCGAAGTAGGGTTCACAGCTTTTGCGTAATTCATGGCTTCGTTTGTGGGATTTGAGGGCTGGGGATTGTTTGTAGTTGTTGTAGGAGGTTGGGCAGATGTGTTAGGGGGCTGACCAGCCGGAATTAATGGCTGGCCGCCGGCCGGCGAAGCCATAAGGCTGTTTCTCTCTCTAGATCGCCCAAATCGCCTATTTGTATTCAGTTGTATTCGAATGTATATTTCAGCTGTATTCACATGTATTCAGCAGCATTCATTTATATATTTTAGATGTATTAAAAAGTTATGCATATTCTCTTGTATTCAGTTTTAATCAGTTGTATTTAACTATTTTATTCAGCAGTAGCTAGTTGTATTCAAGTGTTTTATACAACTGTATTTCAATTGTATTCAGTTGTAGTTAGTTATATTCAACTATTTTATTCAGTAGAAGTTAGTTGTATTTTGTTGCATTCAAGAGTTTTATTCAGCTGTATTCAGTTGTATTTTGTTGTATTCAGTTGTATTTTGTTGTATTCAAGTGTTTTATTCAGATGAATTAAGTTGTATTTTGTTGTATTCAACTGTATACAGTTCTACTCAACTATATTATTCATATGTATTTCTCTTTATTCAGCTATAATCTTTATTACGTATCTTTCAAATACAGATTAATGAGGGATCATTTTAGTTCGTTGAGTTAAATTAGGAGAATATCATGTGATTTTATTTCCTTCCGTTTTTAACCAGTTTAACCTTCCAGATTTTGCGCAGATACGTTACTGTATTTAACGTTAATGCCGCTTGAATACAGCTAAATACATGTCAAACTTAGCTGGAATTCCACTTTTTACGCCTATTTTTTTGGTTGTATTAATGAATACAACAGCTTAAATACATGAAATACATTGTATAAAAACATAAAAGGTATCTATAACACGTAATATTGCAAAGGGTATCTATAAATGACTAATTAGACCTAAAAGATGGTGCTTTATGAAAAATTCTCTACATTAAAATAGAGAACTATTAAAGAGTTTAAATTATATTAATAAATTACATTACAATAATTATTTTTATGTAAAAAATATTTTTAAAAAACTTGTATACATGTAATGTCGGATTGGTTTGGTTTCGGTTTGACTTTTTCTAGTTAAAACCAAATCAAACCAATTATAGTCGGATTTTTTTTCCTAACATCAAACCAAACCATAATCAGATTTTTTTTTCTTAGTTTGATTCGGATTATCGGTTTGATGCGGTTTGTCGGTTTCTTTTGTGCACTCCTACATTTAAGCATAAAATGCTGCAACTCCCATGCATGATGCATCTTCACTTTGTATATTCGATTCAGTCTATTTTCTCCTTTGAAATGGCACTTACAACTTTATTCACCGATTTCCAAAAGTGGAATACCAAATTCGGCGACCCAACTTAACAGTAATTGCCAACTAAACCACTTTTTTGGTTTTCTCACTTATCTGTGGTCCAAACTTTATAAATTTGACCCATAAATTAATATATAATCATATCTTTGCTCAAATCCAGCATCAACACAAAAGTCGGATTTAATTATTCAAAGAAACAGCATAACGACACCTTAATCCCGGATATTACGCTAGACTAGATAAATAAATTAAGTTTAACATCATAGAGAGTCAAAGGGTCTTCAATCCAATTCATATGAATTCAACACTAATTATGTAAACAGAAGAAGAAGAAAAAATAGTAATTAAAGGAAATAGAAAATTGAAGTGGAGACTTTAAAGGGAGAGATTCATGCATGTTCAAGATTTTGATAAGCATGTGAGAGAACTGAGAGAATATGTAGGAGGAAAGAGTGGCACATGACAAGGTTTTAGCAACCAAACGTGCATTCCATGTGAGAGGAACTTAATTTGGGTCCAACCCCCACTCCTCTAAAGAAGAATCTCAAGTCAAAGGGATCACATCCAGGGGCGGAGCTACAGTATTAGTTGCGTGTTCGATCGAACTTAATAGCTTTTGTCCAAACCTTATATTTGTACTAAGAAATCTAATGAATATGTACAAATTATTAATTTAGAACCTAAAAACTTAAAAGGATTATAATCTCGAACCCATAAGGTTCAAATCCTGGTTCCGCCTCTGATCACATCCCAAAACCCGAGCGCAAAAAATTACTTACACAATCAAATCACCTATAAAGAAATTATAGGTAAATTTTTTCTACGATAAATATTAGTAAGTGATAACCTGATAAAAAGGTAATAAACACATTACCCATAGTGTAATTTTATTGTTGTTAAAACGTTGGATTGTAACATTTTTGAGGCCTTGAGCCATTAGGTTACTTGTATTGGATCATATCCTTGTTGGCAAATCTTTAACATTTAAAAAAGATTAATTATACTCCAAAAAACATGACAAGCAATAATGACATCGCAAAAGGCACAAACTTTCTACAATACCAACAGCTATATAATCCTATTTTATAACAACAATCATTTACTACTCCACCATGAGTGGGGAAGAAATTAAAAACTAATACATCTTGATTTAATTAAGCCTATGCTTTTGATAGCAAAGGAATCATCACAATTCAAACACACTATTATATCTAATGTTGTAAGAAAAAATTGAAATCTTAAAGGGGGTAAAAAGAAAGAAAATGAAAATTTTGGCACACACCACATGTAAGGGAAGTATTGCTACAACCCCATGTATATAATACAAGATAGTCATAGTCTAAGGACAGTTTTGACCGTTGAACTTTTGCAACACCACTTTTGGCGCCGCGGCAAATCTAGGTGAGCTTCTTAATGGTGGATAGAGGCCGGTGGCGCCGGATGTGGCGGTAGGCTTGCCGGAGGAAGCGAAGGTTTGCATTGATAACACTTAGCGAAAAGGCCAAACGTATCGATTTGTCTGATGAAATTGGTCATGCTAGCCCAACCTCCGAACCCAAATCCGACAACAAAAACCCAACCCACTATGAAGATGTTAATGGCATACATTGCAGTCCAACTTGGCATGAAAAATGGAGGTTTCTCCGCCGCATTCTGCAAGTTCAATCAAAAGATAACCTTAAATTAGAAAAAAAAATAATCAAGAAATGGTCCAATTTTATGAACATAACAAATGTAGGGACCAGAATGGAAATAAAGTGTTAAATTCATTGGCAAATATATACAGGATACTAGTGGCAGTAAATTATGTCAAAATCAAGGGGGCATAAGGTTGTCAGTCAAGAAACTAGCCAGCTCATCTGAGACATAATACAACAGTGAGACTGTAGTTTATAACTAAATGAAATGGACTTTCCACCTATATCTTCTCCCCTACCATATATTTCCAAATCCATGCTATTAATGCCTTTGTTGTACCTTTGTGTCCTCTCTCTCTCCCCCACCCACAAAAAAAACCCCACCCTCACCCTCGTACTTTTATATAAGAATTTAAAGTATATGCACGAATAATAAGTTATGGAATGTTTACGTCATCAATGCAATGAATAATTACTACATTTATCATAAGTTGATGATGAATACTTATTAAATAGAATTACATGTATTAACCTTATAAGTCTAATTGTATAAATATTAGGCGATAAGAATTTATAATTCGACCACAAGGTAAAAAGACTCGGCAAAGGGACATATACAAAGAATTTTTGGCAATCTCTCTCACAAGCCCTTAACACCAACCCGTGAATTGTTAGGTCAATCTAAAGACTAACAATTCAACTCAGGTGTATAAAATGCCACTTGGATAACAAAATCTTAATATAATATAATTTTGCATTTGATTTTTGAATATCTTATACGTAACAAAAGTGAACCCGAGTCATGACCTAGCTGTCAAAAGTGAGTGAAAATTATGAAAAACCAAAGCTAACTGTTTCTAATATTTGGTGGACAGAATTATGGAATTTATGATATATGTATAGAGAGTACAATTGGGAGGTAGAGAAATAAATGCATACCTGACGAGCGGAGGATTTACGATAGGTGAGCATATGGGCAAGAGCTGGGATGATGTAGACTGTGAAACTAACCAAAAGAGCACCAACTGCAGAATTAATAGGTCCAAAAAATGGGAAAATAATAGCCAAGAACCATATTGGTATAACCACAGGCAATCTAGCCAATGCCCTTAGGCATATGCTTTTTGTATCATGCATCCCTATAACTTTCTCCCACACAAAATATAATGGAGTACATGCAAATCCAAATGTGATAAACTGATGAATTAACATCAAGATCACAGCAGCATCACGCCATGCGTTTTTGGGTAGAAGTGAAAATGCATTACTATGGTTTAAAAGTTGATCTCCAAATGCCCAGTAAACTGCTGATGCTGATGGTAATGTTAGGGTGAAAACGTATAAGGTGGCTATTAAGTATATGTACTTGAACTTCTGTGGTTTCCACATTGCATGCATAATTTCCCTGAATAAATATTTAAATAAGTGGGTTAATTAGCAAAATAAATCCAATAAAAATAAGAAGAAATTATAGTATAAAAGAATTTTTATGCTATCAAATCGTTCATACACGGCTAACAAGTACTAGTTAGGCAACTTCCTATAACAAGTGAAGTTACACTGATACTGTAATAATTATTTACACGATATTATATAAGTTATATGTAAACAAGAATATGGAATCTAATCATATGCCTTAATTACTGAAGTCATATAAAGAAAGTACTTTGACAATATGGGGCATTGGATTCTTTAAATACAATTATGTAAGCTGTACCATTAAATGCATGAAAGTATTCTTAATGGGATGCATTTAATGACTAAACAAGTCTTTGGCCTAGCTAGTTTCCATGTACCACGAACGTGCCAAGATACGAGGATAAGATTACAGGCAATATGGGAAGAGTGGGAAAAAAGGTTATATTTAAAGGGAAACAAAAGTGAGAAAATTTGTATATAATGAAAGGAAAAAAAAGAGGTCTATTTTCACTGTTGTTTTTTCATGTGAAGGGAAATGGAATGGGTAATGTTGTTTTTCCAGCTTACAAAATTAAAAGAAAAGGTTATTTTTTCATGATTTTGTCGGGTGTTGACAAACCCCGAGGTAGGAGGCAAAAGCTGCAAAGAGAAACTGTGTAGAAACTAGAGCAGACCAAGAAGAGAAGAAGATGATATTATATATAAAAGGAGTATAATGTATACTAATATATGGATAAAGGATTATTACATAATACTTATTATCTATATAAACATAAAAGTAAAATAGATAACATATTCATATTTATTTATTGTTAAGAATAAAGCAGCAGTAAGAAATAACTTACACAGTAACAGCATGACCACCGAAGGTATAAAGGATATTGGTAGCACCAGTGAAATACAACACAAGCTTGTTTGGAGCAGAGTGTTGAACATTTTCAACCTATACATACAAATAATTTTTCACTTAATAGAAACCCAAATATAAAAATTCAAAAATAAGATTTGACTTATTTAGAATAGTAAAAAAAGTTACTCTATCATTGTATATTAGCAAGTAATATATATGCCTTAATTTTTTTATTAACAGTTACATATAATTATTAGACTCAAATTATTTACCTGGCCATGAACAAGAGCTGCAACGGTTAAATACCAAGCTGTGTAAGTGGTCATCCCAAGGCCAAGAAAAGACCAAATTCGATAGTTGTGGAAAGAAGGAATGAAAACAGTAGTAGCACAACAAGCTCCAAATATGTATGTCCATGTCCTCTTGTCCAAATGATCATTGATGTAATATATGTTACTGTTCCAAGTCAAGAAAACCATCCAAAAAGAAACCATCAAGATAAAGTTTTTAACCAAATTCCAGTTCAGATATGTACACTAGTACTTTTTTTTTCCTTTTAAAATGAAAGGGATCTTGTTCATAAGTCAATAAGTCCATACCTTGCACAAGCAATTAGTTGAATGACAGATCCAAACAGAAGGAAAGTACAGTTGAAGGCAAGGCCTGCTGCTTTCCAGTATGGTCCCAGTAGTCCATCTAACACTTCAAACCACTGCCATTTCAAGAAAAAATCAAATAATATATAGAATCTGTTTCCAATTCCTTTGATAGTGAGAATGAGAAGATAAAATACTAGGATGGAAGAGGTAGCTCGAGGCACAAAGCTCTAGAAAATTGCGGACTTTGTATTTATGCAAGTTTTAGCATAGAGGAAATCCTAGAACAAATAAGAATAAAAATTCTTTAAAGAATATAAATATACCTGAATGACATGATTCTTGAAGCTAACACCTTCTTTTTCTTTTCTGCTTCTGTATTCAATATAGAGAACACTGATGAGGTATGCAGTCCAGCTACCAACAAGACCATAGAAGATCTGGAACACTATGCCTGATATCATTCCAAGTTGAGAAAAAGAGTATGGTAATGTCAATAGCACTTGTGCTACCTGTAAAAATAAATACATTAAATTCATCAAAATGAAATTTCTTATGTTTTTTTCTTAAAAGTAAAAAAAGGTGGTCATATATACTTGATTAGAAGCACAACTGAACCAAGCATCCCAAGCAGAACCACCATGCCAGAGGAAACTCTTGACATTAAAAATGGAGTGATCTTCTTCTAATTTCTCAACTTCTAATTCTTTTCCACCATCATGTTCAGTTTCATTGAAGTTTGGGACAATAGCTTCTTCTGCTTGCTTCTGAGCCAACATTTTCAATTTCTGGCAGATCTGTAAACAACACAAAAAAGGACACAAAATGAGACAAAAAAGAGAATACACACACACACACACACACACACGAGTCCCCTAATACTGAAAACTCCACATCCCTAGTTCCCTCTAATTCATCCTTTTCCCAAGAAAACGAAAGCCAAGAATTCCCCAGATCCAAAAAAACCACCCCATGAAAAATTAAAAAAAAAAAATAAAAAAAAACATTTTTTTTTTCATTTTCTTGAAGTACCTTGTATTAAGATGTTTTCTTTCTTGTAACCAGATCTCTGCAAAAGAAGAAGAGGAAGAAGAAGAATACACACTTCCTCTAATTGAGCTATTCTTTTTGTTCTCTTAGCAGCAACCGCCCCAACTTATAGTAAAAAAGCAGAGGAAAGAAGAAAACTTGAGCTAAACAGCTTTCTTTTTAAAAAAAAATCTCTCTTTTTCAAGAATTTAAGTGAATTATAAATGCAGCCCAGAAATAATTGTAAGATCACACAAAATCTTCTGAAACCACAACAACCAATTCACTTAAATGCTTGTGTCAAATATATAATTTATAACTTCTCTGCAAAACACAAAGGCGGCTAAAGACACCTCAAAAGTAGCAAAAAGAAGAGCTTTTTTTCTCTTTGCTACTACTGCAGAGACTAGAGAGCAGAGTAGAAGCAGAAGAAATGAAGAAGGGAACTTTTTTATGTGTAGAATTCAAGTAAGCAGAGAGATATAAAGAACACAACTGTTACAGTATTAGTAGCAGCTAATCTAAGCTAAGCTCACTAGTTGGCAGAAGCAGTATGTATATATATATATTAATTGCATGTGTGAAATACTATTTTTTTTTCTTCTTTTATTTTCACTTTTTTTCTTTGTTTTGGAAATTCTTGCTTTTTCTCTTTTCATCACTGTAATCCACTCATGATTCTACTCTTATTAAGGGTCTTTGTTTTTGGTAGAAAGAAAAAAAAAAAGACATATGTGTTTATGGTGACAAAGACTCAGACTCAATTCTCATCAATTGAAACTTAAGCAGTTCCACTATTAAATACAAAATTAATTAACTTATATACAAACACAGTGTATACTTTAACCTATTATAGCCAGGGGCGGAGCTAGCCAATCAGCTACGGGTTCGGCCGAATCAAGTAGCTTTGGTCCATACTATGTATTTGTTTTATGAAATTCATTGAATATGTGTTAATTGTTAATTTAGAACTCAGTAACTTAAAAGGATTAAAACTCCGAACCTATAACCTTCATATCCTAGCTCCGCCTCTTATTATAGTAGTAGATACCATGCTTTATTTTTCAGGTTAATAATTTTAATTATTATGGATGATTAATTGTATTATCTTTTAGGTGATAAGATAATGCAAAAATATTTATTATATCATCAGTTTATAGAAGTTAAATTCAATTGAAAATCAAGATTTGGAGAACTTTTTAGTTAATTGATTTAAGTATTTACTTAGAATGATTACAAGTCTAACGTCCCAATTGCTTGTTTTGTGGGTGTTTGGTAAAAAATATTGGGTGGGAAGCAATTATCATTCTATGTTTGACTGTTATTTTCCCCTTTGCATGTGATATGGTATTTTTAAATACAAGGAAGATTCCAAAATTAAAGAATTTGTATGTTTTCTTTCAAGATACAAACGTCATGTACAACATCTGCATTATTTTCTGTTCTCTTTATGGTACTTAAATCCATGTCACTTAATGTAGTTCATATTCAAACACTTAACATTTAAAGTAAATTTGCACAAATAAATCATGGTTAATATAGTGAAATGGAAGAAAAAAAACTTTAACCGTGAATGAGGAAATGATATTTTAATGACAAATTTGCGCAAAAAATAACTTACTTCCAATATTTAGTAAATTGTGAAACATGCCATATCAGCTATATATCTCTCTTTGATGGATACTAATATTTCAATCTTTATTCAGAATTAGTATAAAATTTAGAACGTTAAACCAAATTATCATTTAGAGATTTAGTCATTCAAATACATTTAAAAGAAAATTCATCTTCCTCTATTTTCTTGTTCAGTTTTAATTTTCAGGTGTTGCGTGTTTATACCTTCTACATAAATTATCCTTAAGGATCACAGATTTTAGCGTGCAAAAGAACGAAAAAACATTCTAACGTTTAAATTTTCTCGTTTCTATAGGCTATAACAGAAAAATATTTCTTAAATATGTTAAATTGAAAATTTCTACCAATATAGTGTAGTTGCTATTTGATAAACATCAATATTTACTTCAAAATGGAAAATCAATTAAGGAGACGGTTGTGACTAACACGGAAAGGCTAGTTGTACTCAAAGAGGAACCTCTGTTAGTATAATGTATAATTCAAGTGGGCCTAGCTGTAAAGCCCATTATTTACTTTTATGACATTTGAGAGAAATATTACCTTTTCTTACCCAGGGATAAGTAAGGCCCATTACAACAATCATCCGCTCAACGTTATGATTATGCTGCAGTTCTGAGATGAATGATCAATTTACATTACATGCTGTTCTCTCTCAATATGTAATGTAATGTAAAACGTAAATTGTAATAACAGTGCTGATTCCAAATTTAACACCGATACAAGGAACGGAATACGAGAAAAATATAAAATTTAGTTTAGCTTTTATAACTACAACAAACTGTTACTATATTTTAAAATTAGTACATGCTATATATAAATGACATAAAAGTTACAACTAAGATCAAGCCAACAGTCCTGCTCCGCGTCGTACTGAGAAGGTGTGAGTGGATTTGACTCCATTATAGGGCTAATATGCAACATACACACAATATGGTGACATTCTTACAGACAATATTAGGCCCGTTTGGCCATGAGTTTTGTCAAAATAAATTTGGAATTTATTTTCAAAACTCATGTTTGGCCATTAATTGTGCCCATATTTTGGCCAAATTCCAAATCCCAAATCTCAAATTCCAAAATCAGCTGCCAAAATCCAAAAACTTGGGAATTATATACATGTTTTTCCAAAATAAAGCTGGAAAATATGTTTTGAAAACGTATGTCCAAACACATTTTCATCTTCAAACCAAACTTCACCCAAATAAGATTTTTCAAAATAAATTTGGGATCTATGGCCAAACGCTAGCTTAGTATCAATTCAGTCCAAAATATAAGACAAAAAACCATCATAACCGTCAAACTGAAACTCACTTAAAAAAGAATTGTGATTATAGGTTGACATCATAGGCCGGCATTACTAACTTCAAATCCTATTTTACGTTACTGTAACGACATAATTAAATGGTAACGGGCGGATTATCTATTTACTACGTATGTGTAATTTACCGCAGTCAATTGCTGCACAAAAATGCACGCCGTAAAAGGAGGACACGGGAGCCATCAAAGCTTCGGAGCCCCACTTCACCGCCGGCTTAGTTGCATTCGTGGCCCATATATATAATCGGCGTTTACGGACCCTACCCGCCAACCAGCCACCTTAGAAATTTCATCTTTTTAGTTTTCTCCCCCTTTATTGAAAAATTAAAGGGCCAAAAAAGAATGCTAATTAAAGAAATGGAACAAAAGATTACTACAGTAGATAAGGGAAAGAAGAAAGTACTATTACTCTTAATTAATTTGCCCCATGTTTGCCTTTATTTAGTATTTATTGTTATTTTTCCCAATGGAGATTTAGCGTGCTCTTTATTGCTACTTTCCGCCTCTCGCTCCACCAAAAAAAGGAAAAAGGGAAAAATAATTAAAGAAGAAAGAAAGTTGGAATTGCATGAAGTAACAAATAACAAATGGTAAAAATAGATTAGCGCTACAACATGCCAGTAACAAAATCACATGTAAGTTTTTGAGATTCTAGCTAGTCTTATTCAAAGTCTTTTCCTTATTTATTTTCTAAGTTCACTAGCTCATCCTTGACCCAAAAATTTAAAAAATAAAATAAAGGGCAAGACTAGGGCTACAAAATTAGGAATTATAACTCTATTGCAATCAATAAGGTTAGATAATACCATAGATAAAAATACTTCTTTTGTCTATAAATACAATCAGGAATTAAATATACACGAATTTTCTTGGTGATGTAAAGTTTGTAATATGAACGCTTGTAATACTTAACTTTCGTTAAGTATCCAGTTTCCTTATTTTGCATGGAGAAAACATGTCTATTTTTGGCGTGTTAAAATTCTACGCGCCTCTTCTTTTTATTTTCTTTTCCCTTTTTACAAATTCGACAACACTTCTTACAGAACAAAGAAATAAGGCAATGCCCACGGACCATAAACTAAAGCACAAATAAATGGAAATAAAGCCACAGCATCCCTTTTAAGGGAACTTTTGCTATTTAACACTGAGAATAACGATGATGTCTAAACGGTAACACTTCTTATGTGGAGTTTAGACTTTATATTTGAGTTTATATATTTTATATACTGATAATGTAAATAATTTTTAGACATTGTTAGGTTATAATTGCTTTCTTTTTCATTTTATCATATTAAATTTGATATTGATAGTTACCTGTTAGTGTAAGTCAATCTAACTTGAGAATTTATAAACTATTTATACTATCGATACATATATAAAATATAAATTATTCATGTTTATATCGAAAAGTATTACGTAGCATTCTTGGCATCGTTTTTTCTGGGGAATTCCTCAAAGCCAAAAGAATAAAAGGATCTAGTGGGGTTGACCTTTTACTAAGGTATGCAAGTTGATAATTATTGTTAATGAATTTATATGTCCCTTTTTTATGATGAAATGATGGTGTGGATATCGGCAAAAAATGGTGGTGGTGGAAGTGGCCGGCCGCCGTAGCAGCCATTCGTGGTGGCGACTTTCCTATTTGTCTCAGTTTCTTGTTTAATGGGAATGTGTGTTACAAAAATTCTTTACAAAAACCCCACGTTTGCCCCGTTCAAACGGGATTTTGTCGGCTTTCTTTGCCCAATATTTTCCTCCACTAAACATTTTATTTCTGAAAAAACATTTCTTTGACATCCCAATTTAATCTTTTAGTGCCCCTTTAATTTATCGTCATCATCATTTTTCGTTTTTGTTTTTGCAACTTTTTCATTCTCTCCCCCCCCCCCCCCCCCCCCACAATATTCTCCTCTACCGCACCATTCTCAATTCCTGATTATTATTCCAATTTTAATTATTTAGGCTAAAACACTTTGAAAAGAAAAGTTATCTAGAAGCTTCAATACAAACTTAGTCCAGATATATATCAAGAACTTTCTAATTGGATTGTTGGAGAGAACCCTATGAGTGTGCTACAGTTATCTTTATGATTACCATTTTATGTGTAAAATGTATATCTGCATTTATTTTCTATTTATCCTTTTTCTCAAAATTTCTTTCTGAAACCTGAGGTTTAAAACGTGTTATGCAATTTGTCATTACTCGAAAAATTTTAGATAAAAAAGTTTTTATTTATGAACTAAAAAGAAAATAGGTTCATATAAATTAAAACTTTGAAAATATGTAAATATAAATATAATACAAAGCGATTAAGTCACTACTAAAAAAATCAGATTTTAGCGACGGAGCAAGTTCTGTAGCTAAACAGAAAAATTCATCGCTAATCTCATTTAGCAACGGATTAGCAACGGATTATCAAGAAATTCTTCTAGTTACGTGCGTTTTAGCGACAGATTAGCGACAACGTTCGTAGCTAATTTTTTTTTTTTTTTTTTTTTTTTTTTTTTTTTTTTTTTTAGTGGGTGCACAATAAATAGGAGAGAGCCGTTTAAATGTTTGTAAACCCATGATCGTTCTTGTTCTTTTTTTCTTTTCATGTTGA